GGGGAGGGGGGCTGCCTGGCATTGTTGTGACCCCTTGAAAGGAGGCAGAGGAAGTTGCTCTTTACTCTGCAGATGGCTGCTGGCTTGGATGAAGCTCCAACACAATGGGTGACTGAAGCAGATTCTAGGCAGCCTTGACAGATTGTAAAATTGGGTAGAAACCAACAAGATGAAATTCATCAGCAATGAGTGCAAAATTCCAAAAAATTGGTTACATAAGAATAAGACTAGGAAATCTGGTTAGATGGAAATTTTTGTTAAACAGAAAATTTTGTTAAAAAGATTTTGTTGACAAAAGAAGACCCAGCCAGGGGACCCAACCAGGAGGCAAGCCTGCTATCCTCTGGGGCATTAGGCCCTTCCTGGACATCAAAGGAAAGAGATGACAGATGAGAGAACCAGGAGAGACTAGATTAGGTGAGGATTGGACCATGTCAGAGCTGAGTGTTGATGATAACCACAAATACTGAGCTGGAAGAAAAGAGAACCAAACTGGGTTGAGGCAGGCCAATTGTTATTTGTTTGTTATGAAGTTCTGACTCATAGCGACCCTACATAGAGTTTCCAAGCTCAAATGTTGGGTTCAATGGCTGAGGATCAAGGAAGACACCTGATTTGTTGCTCATGAAGCCAGAGTGGTGGCATCATGTGTAAGTGGGTGATTCTCAGTGAGAGATATATAAAGTTTGTGTTGACTTCTGGGATAACTTCCTCATCCGTTATGAGTATCCAACAATGGATCGTGTTACCTGAGTGCAGGTGAGCCCAACCTCACCTTAGACCAACACTAGCCCCATCTAGTTAGTCAATGCTCTAGTCAGACAAATGCTGAACTCTATAATGTTACAACAATTCCATGTAGCAGGGATTATTAAAATCCCCATGTTACAGGAAGAACGATGAGGACCAGAGGCTAAGTAACATGTCCATGGTTTTAAATAAGAGGCAGAAGGAAGACAAATAACCAGGTCTGGTTCCCAACGCAGTGTGTGCGGTGAGGAGAGGACAGTAGACCAAAGAGACCTTCCACTTTTTCGATATTCGTGAACCATATACTTTTGAGAGTGTGTTTTAAGAGTTGATCCTTCTTTTGGTCAGTTGATGATGCCTGGAGGGGATTGTAACCATGGCAATGAAAAGATGATATAGGATAGAATGAATGTAAAACTAATGTTCTCCCATGTAAACTATCACATAATTCACAATAAAACATTAAAAAAAAGAAGAAGATGATGAAAGGAATAAAGAGTCACTGTATCAAAAAAAAAAAAAAAGAGTTGATCCTTCTGTCTCCCGCCCCCATCCCCAATTTTAGGGTCTTTCCGATGATCCCATCACTTCTGGTTTCATGAAGCACAAACCAGATATCTTCCTTCGTCCTCAGCCATTGAATCTCACATTTGAGCTCGGACACCCTGTGCAGGGTATCCTGATCGCTACGCTCCTTTGCGTAAGCAAAGAGTCTGAAAGTTGAGTCTCGGGTGGCGGGGCGTGGAAGTAAGGCAAGTCACAGACTACAGGGTGGGTTTGAGGCTAGGATGTTTGGGGCAGGAGTGCTGGGAGCGGCGGGCGGAGCCGGGCCGGAAGGGGGCGGTGCCGGGGGGGGCCCTGCGGTGCGGGGCGCCACCTGCAGGGGGCGCTGGCTGCAGCTCTGAGCCGAGACAATTGCGCTGAGCGGGCGCTGCAGCCGGAGCGGGAGCCCGAGCGGCGCAGCGCGGCGCGGGGGCTGAGCGGGGCTGTTTAGCGCCGCCGGGCGGGAGCCATGGTCCGCTAGGGCCGGGCTGAGCCCCGCAATGCCACCGCCGAGTGGCCCCAGCGTCCTAGCGCGGCTGTTGCCGCTGCTGGGGCTACTGCTCGGCGGCGCCTCCCGGGCTCCCGGCAAGTCGCCGCCGGAGTCCCTCAGCCCGCAGGGTGAGTCCAGGTCCAGAGGGGCCACGATCGCGGGCCTGCGCCCCCGGATCCGGCCCCCGCCTGCCAGCCCGGTCTTCGCGGCGCTCGTGAATTAGGGGTATTCTCTTCTCCGGATTTGGGTGGGGGGAGCTAGGCGACCTGGGGTGGGCGTTTATGGAGGAAGGTGGGCTGGGGGGGACCTATTGGGGCTGGGATCTCCGGGACTCACAACGGGGAGGGCGGGGGTCCCCGGGTTCCTCGCCCTCGCCCCCCCTCCCGCCTTGTTTTTCTCCCTTCTGGTCCTCGAGGCGCTGCTGCCTGAGCCATTGTCTAGCAAAGACACCCGCCCAGAGGCGGGCTGGGGCGGGCACCGGCATCGCAGCCCCCCGCGGGGTCCTCGCTTCCGACTCAGGCTGGGTGGGGGCTCGCGCCTCGACTGCTACCCTAGGCCTGGACGGGGGCTGGGCGTCTAGCGCTGAGCTTGAAGGGGGGAGGGGAGAAGGGGGAGTGGGTGAGGCTGTGGGCGGGATTGACTGATCGAATGGGGGGTTCTTTGCCCTAGAGCCTGACAGCTCTCAGTGGCCCCCCAGGTTTAGAATTTGGGTGCACCCAACAAATGCTGATGGGCCCATAATGGAGATGGGGCTGTAGTGGGGGGGGTCTGGAATAAAGGGTTACATTGTGATCTCTAGCTCAAGGCACATGGCAGGGTTTCGGAGCCATACTGAGCTGGCTGGCCGACTGTGGGCAGTGCCGTCTGGGAGCGCAGGTGCCTGGGTCCCCGTTCATCGGGCCTTTGGTCACTCCTGCCCCAGGCCGCCCCATCTTGTGTCCTTTCCTCATGTCACCTCTCCTTCTCAGTGGAGACCTCCGGGCTCCTCACAGGGTCCAGGTGGGTGTGTGAGGTGGGGGTGGGGCCCACTTCTGCAGCGGGGAAGGTGGGATGGTAAGACCACCACACTCCACGCTGGCTACTTGGGCTCTCAGGAGCCTCCGCCCACCACCCATCATACATCCTCCACCTAGCCTACTGTCCTACTACCTCTGCCCTCCCCCACCTCCACCCCCTACTAAGGAGCTAATAGGAAAAGGGGGTGTTCTGGATGAGGGAAGTGGGATCCGGATGGAGGGAGGGGGTCGGATTTCCTCCTGGAATGAGGCCAGGCTGAAGCTGGGAGAGGCCCAATATGTGTGGAATGTCAGACTTTGAGGAGTGGGAAGGGTCTCCCCTGGCCTCAGTCTGCCCTCCTCTCTGAGGAGGAAGAGAAGACTTGGCTAGGTAGGAAAGAAGCCCCTCCCTCAGGCCTCTACACCCCAGGGGAGGGGGCCCAGAGGATTGGCTGGAATAAAGCCAGGATAGGGGGTTCTCCTAGGCCCCTGGCTGGGCGCCCAGTCTAAGAGAAAGGGGGAAGGGGGGGAACCAAGCACTTCCCCTGCACATCTCCCCAGCTTTCCACTAATGCCTCCTTACCTGCCCCCCCACCTCCCGCCCCGTTTTGTCCCCTAAGCCCCTTCTCATCTGAGGTTCTGATCCTGGAACCCAAGACATTCCCTCAAATGACCACTCTTGGGTCCCCTCCTCCCAGCTGCTTAGTCCAGCTGCTTTGTGTGTGTGTGTGTGTGTGTGTGTGTGTGTGTGTGTGTTGAGAGGGGGAAGTGGCCCAGCCCCACTAGCTTCTCAGAATTCCTTTGGGGTGTTGGTGGAGGAAGGGGGCTGCCAGCTCCTGGGAGAAGGGAGAAGCAGAGTGGGAGAGGGTCTGGAGTGTGTGCCGCTCTGCAGGGGAGTGGGACACAGTCGGATGTAATGCCAGGGTCAGGCGTGGTGCTGGCCCTGGGGTTGGAATCTGACATAAAATACCTACCATGTGGAGTGTCAGCTCTACCCAGTCTGCCCAAAGTCCCCCTGACCCTCTGACTTCCCTTGCACCCTGCTGCTCTCGCTCGGCTCTAGACCTTCAGTCCGGACCTGGACTGTGCACAAGTTTTGCGTCCAGCACCCAGCCCCCTCCCCACCTGCCTCCTCTGGGTCCCGCACCTATGCCCAACAGGTAGGGGTGACACATGTTCTTGAAGGAGGAGCCCTGCAAATGGGAAGTGTTTTGGATCAGAGAGGCTTCCTGGGGGAACAATTCAAGGCCTGGCTTATACCATCTGAGCTCAGAACACCTGTAAACTTAGTGCCCAGCTGGGCTGGCTTGGCCTGGCGCTCTGGACAGCGGTGATCCTGGCAGGTAGATAGATGAGTTTCCCATTCCAGCCCTCTCTGCACCAGTTTCTGGACTTGATTCAACACTTCCTCCCCTTGTCAGGGCCTCAACTCTCTGCCCATCTCCAGGGAGGAATGAGGGCATTGCCATGGTGACCAACTAGCTGACCAGCTGGGCAGGGGCAGGCTGTACAGTAGGGTTTGGGTCAAGTCTCCAAGAATGAAACAGGCTTGTGATTTTGGGAAGCCAATGAATGATGGGAATGACCAATTCCCTAGTGCCCCTTTCTCAATTTTTTTCTGAGAACTTCATGTCTTGCCCAGTCTTCTAGTCTCCCTGTGGGAAGGGCTAAGTCCTGCCCTCGGTCCGCTCCACCTCAGGCCCCTGGTTCTCCACTTTCTCAGCCCTCCTGGCCTTGTCCTCTCCCCTAACACCCGCCATGTTGGGTGCATTGGTTAAGCGTGGGGGGCTCTAGAGGCAAACTGCTGAGTTTGGACCCTAGATTCATCACTTCGCTATAGTACCTGGCCTGCAAGGATCTAAACTCTTTGAGCCTCTTTATCTGTAAAATGGGAATGTTGTTGTTGGTAAGTGCTGTCGAGCCGGTTCCAACCCATAGCGACTCTGTATAGGGTTTCTGAGGAGCGGCTGGTGAGCTTGAACTGCCGACCTTACAGTTCAAACTGACCTTGCAGTCCAGCGCATTAACCTGCAGCACCACACCAGGACTCTGTAAAATGGGATTAAGAGCTTGTTTTATCAAATTCAAGACATCATTGAGTGTAAGTTGTTGTTGTTAAGTGCCTTCAGGTTGTTTCTGACTCATACATAGCCACCCTGGATACGGTTTCTGAGGCTGTACATCTTTGCAGAAGCAAAAAGTCTCATCTGTCTCCTAAGGAGCAGCTAGTAGGCTTGAACTGCCGACTTTGTGGTTCAAAGTCCAGTGATTATTGTATAGAGACATTGAATGTAAGATGTACTATTACTTCGTGGGCCAGACTTGATGAAGTATACCCACCTCACAGGCCACTGTGCTGTGTTAATGCTCTACAATGCTGACTCTTATTATGATACCTTCTGTAAGCTCAGCCCCACGGCCTCTCCCAGACACAGCCCACCCCCTGTCCTCTGATCTCAGGCCTCCACTAGCTCTCTTTCTCCCCATCCCTCCTTCTTACTCCCCTCACCCCATCTTTCCCACAGAGGTCCTGATCAAGGTGCAGGTGTACATAAGTGGGGAGCTGGTGCCCCTGGCTCGGGCCTCAGTGGACGTGTTTGGGAACCGGACCCTGCTGGCTGCTGGCACCACGGACTCTGAGGGTGTGGCCACATTGCCTCTCAGTTATCGCCTGGGTACCTGGGTGCTGGTCACTGCTGCCCGCCCTGGCTTCCTCACCAACTCAGTGCCCTGGCGTGTTGACAAGCTGCCCCGTAAGTGTAAGGGCAGGTGGAGTGGGCGGGTAGCAGCTGACCCTCTGACAGCCCCTTCTCAAAATAGTCCCTGGGGGGATGGGTGGGTGGAGGGGACAGGCCTCAGCAGCTGCTGCCTGGACTGGGGAGGCAGCAGGGCCTTTGGAAGGATGAAGCCACTGGGATTCAGAGCAGCAGCGCCTGGGCTGGGGAGGCAGCAGGGCCTTTGGAAGGATG